TCTCCCACCGCCATTGCGACAGCCCCAAGCCCCAGCACGGCGGCCGGTACTGCGAGGGCCAGCGCGCCAAGTACCAGTCCTGCCGCACCGAGGAGTGCCCGCCCGACGGTAAGCCCGGCTCTGCAAAGCCACCCCTCCGCGCAGCAAAGGGCTGCAATTCCCGAATGCACGCTCGCCTCCCACCCCCGTTTTTCCAGGACCCATCGCCAGGGATCGCTCCACTCTTCCTTAAATATATTCCTATTTGGGGGGGGCATAGCTTTCTGCTGGGGGTTGTGATCCCCTCCGGCTGGGTGGGAGGTGGGTGGCATCCCTCCTCTGCGTGCACGCTCGCCGCATGCTCCCGCTATCCTCGGCGCTCGCTCCTGCATCTCTGCGACGGCTGAGGAGGCCAGGCGTTTTTTGGGGTCACGTTTCACATTTTTTTAATATTTTTCTTTCATTTTTGGGTTTTTTGTTTGTTTGTTTTTGTTTTGTTTTGTTTTGTTTTTTGTTGTTGTTGTTGTTGTTGGTTTTTTCCCCGTGGCTTTTGGGTCACATTTCGCCTTTCCTTTCAGGGAAAAGCTTTCGGGAGCAGCAGTGCGAGAAGTACAACAGCTACAACTTTACGGATCTGGAAGGGAATCGCCTGGAGTGGGTTCCCAAGTACGCGGGAGTGTCACCCCGAGACCGATGCAAACTCTTTTGCCGAGCCAGAGGGAGGAGCGAATTTAAAGTCTTTGAGGCCAAAGTAAGAGACCCAGCGATACAACCACCCCTCCTTTTTCTCATTTCAGATCAAATGCCCTAATTGCTCCTCTGCGTCCCCTCCCTTTCCTAGGTGATCGACGGGACGCTGTGCGGACCGGAGACCCTCTCCATCTGCGTCCACGGGCAGTGCATCAAGGCTGGCTGCGATCACGTAGTCGGGTCCTCCAAGAAGCTGGACAAGTGCGGGGTGTGCGGCGGCAACGGCTCGACTTGCAGGAAAATATCCGGCTCGCTCAATCGATCCAAGTAAGGTGCCGGGGAGAAGAGGTCAGCGGAGATGGGCTGGGCGAAGAAAAAACACCTTCCCCTCTCATTCTCCTCCTTTTTTTAATTGCAAAAGTGCTAGGCTAGGAATATTAGGACTCCTCCTAGGTCACGTAAAGCCAGTTTGCTTTCCCAAAGCACCACACCTCGGCGCAGACCTCGTTTACAGCGGCCGGACTCGAGGAGTGCGTGGCTTTCCGTGCCGTTAACCGGGGTTTGCAGCCGTGCCGACACCCGTGGCTGGGTGGCCTTGCCACAGCCTGGTCTCCTCGCCAGGCTCGGGGGCTTACGCTGAGTTAATTTGGGAGCAGCGTTAGGCAAGCCAAGCAGAGTTTATTTCCTAAAATAATAGCTGGTGCTGACACCGGCGATGGGCTCGGTACGCCACTGCAAATCCATCTGCTGCCCCGAGGAGTTTACAGTATGCATCTCACGCCAACGCCGTGGGTTGGACACATACTCAAGGGCTGGTGCTGAACTATATAAATAGTTCGATAACTTTTCCCAGGGCTTAGGAGTGAATTTCGGTCCTAGGACACGGGCATCGAGGCAGCCGCTTCCATCGCCCCAGATCTCCATTGCTTTGCCAAAGAGCTGAATTTAAGGCTTTTGTTGAAAAGGTCGTAACAGAAGCCCAACGTGTCCAATTCCATGCGGCGAGGTGACTCACGCAGTCAAATTAGATTTCCTAAATGGTTTCCTTCCAGGGAGCCAGCTGAAAATGGGGCTTCCACTCTCCTATGAATTGTTTGTGGTTGACTAAAAGAGAGATGAGCGTAGTAGCTACAGCCAAGCAGAGATCCCATTAAGATCAGGGTGAGGGAGGCCAGGGTGACTGAGAGCAGAGTTTGACCTGAAAGCTTTGTTCCAAAATACTCTAAACCTAATTACCGACCACAGCCTCAACCGTGGGGATGTGTGGAAAACAATTCCGTCGGCCCCACGGCGTGAGTCACGCCAAAGGTGGCATTTTATTATAGTAGCAAATAATTACCATAGCACTGGGTGCTGAGGGCTCGAGTACGGAAGGCTTCCCGGTGCTGTCGCGGGAGCCGTGGCGCTCCGGGGATGGGCTCCGGCTGGGTCTGCAGGGGAATCCTCCCCCAGTGTGGAATGTGCTCTGTGCCCTCCAACAAGAGCTCTTCTGCGTCGTGGTGGTGGCTGCAAAACCCTTCTGAGGACGAGCCCACGAGGGTGGAGAGACGCCCGCCTATGGATAGGGATGATTTTGTTGCCGTAGTATTTGCTGTCTTCTAGGAAAGGCTTTTGAGTTGATATCAAGTCGTCTACAATGTGAGATGTCTGTTGGCTTAACTTTTTAACTGATGATCTGGTTTTAGCAGCAACATCTGGCCAATGTACATATCCTCTCTGCGTACAATGCCAGCAGTGCCCCGGCTCTCTCCTGTCCTGCTGTGCTGGATCTATAGCTGATGCTATCCGACAGCATCACTAAAATCTAGGCTTTTAGTCCCAAACACTTCACCCATTTCAAAAGAAAGGGAGTGAGGGGAATTTCCCACCAAGGCTGGTAACTGAGGGGCTGTTCGTTTGATTCCATCTCTCATTTTTTTGCAAAATCTTCCAGCTGAGCACACACCTGGCACGACTGCAATATTTCCAGCTCCCGAGCGCTCTGGGTTAGAGAGAGGTGGCTTCAGAGCCACGATCCCGCTCGCCAAGTGCTATCCCCTGCACGGGTCTCCTCTTAATAAGTCCCGGAGAGTAACAGTGTCCCTTTGCCCCGTGCAGTTTTTTATCCGGCTACAACGACATTGTCACCATCCCCGCCGGGGCAACCAACATCGACATCAAACAGCGCAGCCACCGCGGGGTCCGTCACGATGGGAATTACCTGGCCCTGAGGACCCTCGAGGGCAAGTACTTGCTGAACGGAGACTTTGCTATCTCGGCCATGGAGCAGGACATCCTCATTAAGGGGACCATCCTGAAATACAGTGGCTCCATGACGACCCTGGAGAGGCTGCAGAGCTTCCGACAGCTCCCGGAGCCCCTGACCGTCCAGCTGCTGACCATCGCCAGCGAGGTCTTCCCTCCAAAAGTCAAGTACACCTTCTTCATCCCCAAGGACGTCCCT